GCAGTCCTTGAATAAAAAGTTGAATAACAAAAGCAACAGGAAAGGCATCAGCAGGATCTACTTTTCTTCGCAGAGATTTAAATCTGCTTACATAGGCATCAACACTGTCAGTTCCTTGTTTGATATCAAATAACTGTTTTTGCCAAATTGCTTTTGCTTAGCAGTGCTAAAACAAGCTTTAAACAAATGCTTGAAACTTCGGGCTTGAGCAGCATCATTATTGTAAGCATTAGGCTAGAGATTCAGACTGTGATACCAGTCTGGAGCAATACCTTTCATGTATACTGATGCAAGTTTTAATCGATGAGCATCATTTTAACGATTTGCTTTACAAGCTCTTTGAAATACTTGAAGCCAGGTGAGTGGGTCCTGGGTTCTATCACCAAGGAAGAGCTCTACTGTGATTAATGTTTGTTCAGGAGCAGTTCCTAAAACAGTAGCCAGTGCAGTTATAGCAGTAGCAGCATTTCATAAAGCTTAATCACCCATATTAGCAAGAGGATTAGAAGGATTGAGAGGTGGTGGTAGGGGTAAGGGTACAATAAGAGGTTGATAAACAGGAGGTGGAGGAGGTAGAGCAGTATAGACAAGGTCAGCTAGGTCAATATTTAATTCGTGGTCTGAGTCTGGTTCTTTGTCACTAGAATTCCTAGGTTCAAGAATATTTTCTTGGTCTTGATGAATAATCCAAGAGAAAGTATCATTAGTTTCTGGTAGGGTTTGGTGAATAACTTCTTCACTATATAGGGGAAGGTTATCTTCTAGTTCGTAGAAGTGATGAGTATCTTCTGATAAGGCAGTTATGCAAACACTGTTGTCTGTAGAGGTGGCTTGCAAGATAGGGCTTCCTAAATTTCCAAAGAATTGACTAAAGTTTCCTGGTTCTTCAAAACTAAAGGTTTGAGGTTCATCAAGATAATAGTCGAAGGTGTTTTGGTATTGAAATGGTAAGGTAGAGAGTTGGAGGAGAGAAGTATGTCATTGAAGAAGTGTAAGGGCTATGTCTTGAGGGTTGGAAAGTGCAGTTGTATAGCGACAGCTAAAAATAATATCCTGGATTGCTATACGAGTATCAGTATGATTGGTAGTACTGATAAGTATGGCAAAAGCATCTTGAGTTCTTTAAAAGTAAAGTAAAGCTAAGTAGCGAAGGTTGTAAAAGTTTCAAAATCTTTCAAAAGGTGTATGAGCACTTGTTCAACAAAGGTAATAGTAATCAGTACAAGAAAGGTCTGGGTAGCGTAATTGTAATACATCTAAAGCTAAGTGTTCTAAGTCTAAATGTGCTTGCTGATGGTTATGAATATATTTCCAATATAACTTGTTAGCAGTTTGTACTATATGCTAAGAAGAGAGTTGCTAATATAACAATTGTCTAAGGTCTACTAAGAAAAGGAAAATGATTCGTGTGCTGAAGACAGATGTCCAGAGATTTCAACAAAAATATGGCTCACGTGCTAGAGACAGATGTCTAGAAAATTCAAAAATATGGCTCACGTGCTAAAGACAGATGTCCAAAGAATTCAAAAATATGGCTTGCATGGTGAAGACAGATGTTCAGAAATTACTGAAGAAGAGAGGTAGAGGAAAGGTGCAGAGAGATTTAATTATATTTCTGCCAGAAGGCACCAAATGTTACAGTACCGTGGCCTTCTCAACAGCAATACTATAATAATGACACAACTACAGGGATCTTTTATAGATTTATAGCAGTGTCCAAGAGGTAAGTATAATTCCTTAGTCTGTAAGAAACTATACCCTTCTCTCTAAGGCAGTTCGGTAAAACAAGATATGATAGTTTATACTTTAAACAAAGATAACAAGCCTTGCCTGTAGGAATTACTCTAGAGAGGGAATATTATATACTTTTATTAATAATAATAAAGAGGCTATCTATTAGGCTTCTGTACCTAAAGAATCCTTTTACAAGAGGAATACTAAATTAAAGGTAGAGGGGAAGTGGTCTGTATCTACTGTCACTTGGGGAATTTAGCAGGGTTTATATATCTTTTGATTTAAGTGACAAAGTGACTAAGTGACTAAGCAACTAGGTGGCACAGTAATGCATGTAATTAGCACAGTAACTGGCACAGTAATGCACAGTAATCGGCACAGTAACTGGCACAGTAATGCACAGTAATCAGCATAGTAATTGGCACAGTAATGCACAGTAATCGGCACAGTAACTAAGTATTACATCATGTATAACAATACAAAATAATATACTAATAATAACAATTAAATAATAATTAAAAATAACTAATAATAAAATAAAATAAAATAATTGTTCTATAACACTACATTTAAACAGAAAAGTTCTTTTTTAATAATTTCTGCAAGTTCTTCAATATTATATTGTTGCTCTTCTCTAATTAGATAGTTATCTTGTTTAGTATTAGTATTAGCAATTGAAATAGGCATATATGAAAACTCCTCAAAACATCTTCTATGTTTATTTAAGATAGATTGTAAATAAAGAAGAGCTCTATTTTGTATATTAGTGTCTCTAAGTTCAAGAGCCATATTTCCAGTATCACAACAGGTTTGAAAGAGTATATCATCACAAAGTAAATAAATATGCTTTTTCCAAAGTGTTTTAGATCTTAATGAGTCACAAAATATAAGCAAAAAAGCAAATAAGTTGTGTAGTTGTGCACTTGATTGCATCTGCTTAGCTTCTGTTAAGCATTGATCCTACTTTTTATCTTCTTGTAATAGGTTTAAAGCAATATATGCTTCTCTGAAAGAATAAGTAATTCCATTTATAATGTGAATATCTTCAAAGGAAGTTGAACCAACAACTACACTAAGTAACATTCTTAGATAATATCATTCACTTGCTGCAGGATAAACAAAATATATATGACCAATAGTATATCCTCGCTGCTTGGTTTCCATTTCTTTGCCTGTATATCATAGGTCTATTGAGATGGAAAATTGGTATAAGTAAGATTTTTTGCTTCTGGATATATTGTATTTGCCTGAAACCATGCTGTAAGAGTTGTCTTTTCTACAGCTAAACATTGAACTATATCTTTCAAAGACTCATCATCTTTGAATAATACTCTATGTTGACCTAGAAGATGGATATGTAATTGCATAATGTCAGGCTTCTCATTATATAATCAGTAGTGAAGTATTCTCCATGAAGCTTCTGATGCTGAAATATAGTGAGCATCTAAATAAAGTCTTATTTCATTATTTGTTTGATTATGTATATTGTTATTTCTAATTTCAATAGTTGCATGATCAGATTCCTTATAAACATATTTAAAAAGGTATTTTACAACAGTAATTGATGAACAAATTTCTATATTAATGTGACAGTCATATTTAAATATAAGATAAGAGTTATAAGATACAACTCAATGATTATCTAATTGAAACCCTTTTACCTTTACAGTTCTACCATTATTTCTATGTCTATATACAAGATAATCATGTACATTCTCTATAGTACTTTTCTGAAAGTTTTGTAGATATATCTTGGAGTATTTTTCATCCTTCATGCATAAGGCATTTGAAATAAGTAAACCACATGGTCCATGAATCATTGCTCTTTGAACAGTGTTAAACAGATCAGGATCATAATCTTTATTAGGGATTTTAGCAGATATAATTGCATCATAGTTAATAACAGTTTGGGGCTTGTATTCTTGTGCAAGAATAATAAGAATATGAGTATAAGGTAGGCCATGCTTTTAAAATTCTATTGTATAAACATAGCCTGCTACTAATCCAAAAATGTTTTCTTTTAGGATATCATTTAAAAGTGCTTTTAGTTTCATATTAAAAACTTGACTAATTAGATCAGGACAGTTAGATGATGTTTGTTCTAGAAGAAGTTCATTTTTAATCTCAGTCTAATTTGAATTGCAAGTTACTATAATAAACAGGTCAGGTTTTTTAGCTATTCTTACAATTGTCATAGCATCTTGGTATAGTTTATGCATTTGGCAAGGCCCTCTTGTAAAACTTGAAGATAATATAATTCATTGTTCTATATTTATTAAACTATTTTCTGCATATATAGCATCTTGAATTCCATTATATAATTCTGCATATAGTTGTTTTTGGTTATGTCTTAGATAGTTAAGACATGTTTGTTCTATTACTGAATACATATCTACAATCCATTGTTGGAAGAGTTGCCCATACCAATGCAAAGTTAATGCTTTATTAAGATAACCAATTTGAAGCCTATATGAAAGATAATTTATTATTATAACATATTTATTTGGCTCATTTTCTTGATTTTCATTATTAGGCTCTAATATATTATCATCTTGGTCATTTGTATAATTATTATATATAAGAATATTAGGATGCCATTCATCTTCACCTCTAGGAAATATAAGAACATAATGAAGAGGTTCATATGCAAGGTGTAATTCTGATATTCTTTGTAATTCTTCATTATTTGAATATAATACAATATCTCTGTTTAATGGTTCTGCTTCTTGTCTATTTTCTACCATAATAATAGCAACTTCAGATGCATTTGGAGTATTATAACAGTGAGGGTCTTTAGTTCTATTATTTGTAATTATTAATTTTAAGTCTAATAATAGATCACAATTTAAAAAATATCCAACTTGACGAAACATATTAGCATATGGATTAATATTATATAACATTTGTTGAATATCAGCAAGAATAGTAAAATCAAGACCAGGCATTATATTTATTCTATTTTGTAATTCATGATCTGTATTATAGATATATATATGAGCAAATTGAGGCTGGCTTTCAGAATCAAGAGAAAAGGCACCTATCCTGTGATACACTTCTCTATGAATATAAAAAGTATAAACACCACTAGTTTCTGTAACCTAATTATCAATATTAGCTCCTATAGATGTAAAAGATAATGCAGAATTATACATTCAGATATTATATCGAAATAAATGTGCACGTGAATCTGTTCCAGTCAGAAGGTTATTAAGAGAAGTTGGTAGATTTTAAAAAGGTGAAAGACTAACTTTTCCTTTTGCACAGCAAGTAAAAAAATAGACATTCTTTTTGATTAGTTTACTCATTCATCTAACCACATAAGGGCTCCATAATAACAGCATTTTTGATCCATTCTACCTAGCATATGACAATCTAAACTGTGTGAACTCTATAAATAAATATGTGCCCTTGGAATCTGTGATAAGGTATTCATTGAAGGAACAGCTATATCTTGTTCTATACCAGAAGCAAGCACCAAATTGCTATTATTATTAATTTTGTTTCTTTTTTGTTGATGACATTTTTGTTGACATTCACATTGTAATCTTTTCTGACAATTTTTAAAAGTTTTATCATTCATAGTTGTATATAAAAGTTATTAAGGATAAGTAAATATTTTGGATTTTTTTAAGATCTGATATGCTTAAAAAAAATATAACACATTATTAACACATAATCTCTTAATAACATTTAAATTTTAAATACACATTAACAAAAGATCATCTGATAAAAATTTACCCCTTGAACTTTAATGGGAACATGTATCTAGCCTAGTGATAGGCAATGCATATAATATGCACATTTTCATACACATGATTTTTATATATACTTATAATGCCAGCAAAGCAATATGCATAATGCTAGTAGAATATCTAATTACTATGTATGGATTTATTATGATAAGTATTATTGTTATCACTATTACTATATATATAATTGAAGTTCTATGTTTATAATTATATATATTTAATACATATGAATAAAACTTTATTTATTTACAAAACTTTTTTTTTTAATAATTAAGAATACATATATTATACACTCTTTCTATCCAAGCTTTACAAAAATAATTATTTTACAACGAAAATTATTTAATTGCATCAAATTAAGATCACATATAATCAACTTTACAATTTAATATAGTTGTATGAATTAAGATTCCACATTATGAAAATCTAAAAACATTTTCAATCAAGGTAAAAATCTGTTAAAATTACTTGATCAGACTACTATTTAATTTACCTTGTGTATTATATACTCAATCTCTATCGGCTTCTTATCAATAATCATATCGAAGTGTGTTAGGTTCTTTAAATATGTTATAAATAGTAAAAATCATTAAAAATAAAGTAAAGGCACATTCTACCAATATATAAGCATTGCTGTTTTCAGTTACTATAAAAAAGTACCATAGCAACTTTAACAAAATACATTATAATTTCAACTTTTTCTTGATATTATCATTCTTATCTTTGCTTCCATCTTTGTTTCCATTTTCATCTTCACCTTTATTCTTGTTTTTATCCTTACTTTCATCTTCATCTTTGTCTAATAGCATAAAACATGTCCTGAGTGGCAGTTGTTCATCCATCCTTTTAAAAGTATATTTGTACATCTTATATCCACTTTTTCTTATACTTTCTTATCATTTTTTAATCATGTAAAGACCATCATACCTATATCTGATGATTGCAAAATGTAATATACAATGATTTGGATCAGATTTTTAATGCAATAAATTATATTGATATTTACAGATACTTATTCTTCTTCTGGTGCATATTCATTATCTAAACAGAAACCTTTATTCAAATTGTATATATATAATATTATTTACCAAGTCATAGAAAATATAACAATAATGTACATACCAAATTACATGAATAGGTCTCTTTGTTTTATAAGAAATCTTTAAAGCAAGATTGCTCATGACTAATTCTTAATCTTTCGACTACAAATATTAAAAACAAATGCAATAATAATAGTTTGAATTCATTGTCATTCAAAAATTGGGTTATTAACATACTTTTGGTGCAGTTCTTAAATTTTTTGGATTACTCTTGATGCCTTTTAGGTCTCTGTTACTAGAACTGTATAAGTGAAAGCTTCTTCTATTTTGCAAATATAATAAATGTGTTCAAAAATTGAATAAGTAAGCATCTTTACATCATTCTGATCTGTATACTTACCCCAATTGACATTATCTTCATATCTTTGTAATATCAGCAAACATCAATAACAACAATACGTAATTGTTCCAATTACGAATATTGAAGTATTATAAACTTAACCCCTGATAAGGCAATACTCATTGCACCTTCACCTTCATTCCATACTATTCTTGCAACCATTAGTCTAATTTTAAAATTAATTCACCAGACATATAGAATTATAACAAATTGTGTATGCTTTGGCATAAATTTACTTACACATAAACTCCAGAATGGCAGCATGGCATTCTTGTCAGCCACTAACTTCTAACCTTATATACTGAAAGGTTGTCAAATTAATAAGGATCCAGCTAGTTTTGGTGCCAATTTGGGTCACTTTCGTAAACAGCAACTTTTTGCACAGTAGTTTTTTGCCAATTTTTACTTTCAATTCCTACAAAAAGCATATCTTCACTTAAATTTTTTGGTGGCTATTTATAAGTTATATTATATTTTCTATTACTAATAAAAAATAGACTACCTCACATTGCAATGTTGATGTTGAGTACTTTGTAAAATACTAGTATGTTGCCTATAAAACTTATTCCTAACCTATTAATAAACATGGCATATTATTATATTGTGAATTACATGTTATAATATAGCAGTCTCAGAATCATACTTTATATGGTTTTCTAAAAGAGCAAGTATATTCTTCTTATCTAGGTTTGAATTAGCACAGATTTGGGTAGCACTAATTTGTACATATAGGTTTGAATTGGTATGGGTTTTGTTGGCATGATTCTTTAACTGAATTTGGGAAATTTTGGTACAAAGCAGAATGTATATATAATACATACATATACCAAAATTAGATTATTTATATTTATTTATATTAAGTAGTCTAAATGTGATAGTGCATAAATTGTATAACTGTTAATAATTTTAAATATATAGATTATTATATAATTATTATTTAATAAAAATTGAATAAAAAAGTATATTAAATAAATAATAATTGAAAAGTAAATAAATTAATAAATAGGTTTAAATTTTTTTAATTATTTTGTAATAGTATAATTTTTTTATTATTTCACAATCTTGTAAAATTTTTTTAATTATTTTGCATTATTGTGAAATTTTTCTGATTATTTCACATTATTATGAAATTTTTTTTATAAAAATTTACTAATTATTTTGCATTTTTTAAAAATTTTTTAATTATTTCACATTATTGCAAAAATTTTCTTATTATTTCATATTATTACAAAATTTTTTTGATTATTTTACAATATTGCAAAATTTTTTTAATTATTTTTGCAATATTGTGAAATTTTTTTATTTTAAAAAAAATTTACATTAATCACAATTATTTCAAAAGATTTTCAAAATGTAAAATCTTTCACAATATTTTATTTATATTTTTTGCTAATATAATTATAATACAATATATGAAATACTTTCTTCAAAATTATTTAACCTAATTATTTAACAAATTACAATAGCAGACAACTTCATTTTCTTTTATAAAATAATATATATCTGTAAACAAACAAACTTACACAAGGCCATTAACTAATATGGTTTACACAAATTTATTCTTCTAACTAAAATAACAATATTACTATAATTCAGACTTATTTAACTCTTCTTTTTAAAAACTCTTTTATTAATTTATTAGATCTTCTTCTTTTTGCCTCAACTCATCTCTTTTTTTACAAAATTTTTTATAATAATAATCAATCAAACTTTCTTTTTTAACAAACCTATTTTCAACAAACCAATTTCTATTAACTTCATAATTATTCATCTGGATTTATTATGATTACTTCTATTTTGTTTCTAATAATCTCAAACCTTCAATCTTTTAGTATTTTTTACAATCAACTTAGACTTACTAAAGACTTACTACAAATTGACTTTAATAAAATTCTCTTACTTATTTATATTAACAATTATACATCTCTTCAACCCTTATCTCTTTCTTATTCTTTAGTAAATCTAACTTCTTCTGAAATACAACTTATTCAACAAACTATTAAATTAATTTTATATCAAAATCAATTAATCAAAGTTTATTTTTTGATTAGAAACTCTAATTTAGATAACCTAATTTTTTATATTAATAGTTCTATTAAAGACTGTTAAATATTAAATATTAAATCAAGTATAGGCTAGATTTGCAAAACAAACATCAATATAAATTTTAATATAAGCATCAAATTATATACTGATACTAATTGCACTAAACTTAAAGCAGTTCTATCACTTCTCTTAGTTATTCTATTAAACATTACTATCATAATTCATCTTAACAACCAAACAGCAATCAAAAACTTGTAATATATCTTCTTCTTAAAACAATTATATATTAAAAATTAGAATATCATCACCTTTATCAATTATTTTAAAACTCTTAAAAATCTTAATATACAATTTTTAAAAATTAAATTACATACAAATTTATTTCATAACCAAGCTAACTTTTTAGCCAAACAAAAAATTTCTAAACCTATTCTTGAACTATTATTACCAATTACCTTAATCTGCTTTTTATAGAATAATCATCTTATACTATTCAAAATTTGTAATTTCATTAAAAATACTATTACAATTTAAGAACTTTTATTCTAGTTTACACTTAAACATTTTCAAAACATCTTAAAAACTAACTAGACTCTTAACTTTTAAATAATTAAATCTATAGAACATAATACTCAAAAATGCTCTTTTCATATTAAAATTCTTACAAATAATCTGACTACTATAAAAAATCTTAATATATGTTATCCTTATTTTTATATAACATCAACATGTTCTCAATGTACAAACCTTAAGATACACTTTATCTTTTCTTTGTGCAAGCAATAATATTAATATAAACTAAGCAATTCTCAATACAATTTAATTAATATTTACTTCAAATATCTAATAGCTTAGTACTCTCTATTTTTAATATTATTACAAACTTTATAGCCAACTCTATCAATCTTAATTACTAATCAATCTTATATGCATATCTGACACTTTCTTTATAACAACTTATAATAATATCAAAGTCCTTTTAAACAAACAAACAAATATCTTTTTAATCAACCTTATTAACAATCTTCTTATCTGATATTATCAAGATTTATGGTTCATATGCAACATGTTCTAACATTAATAAGAATTTGCTTAAAATATAATTACTAAAACTAAATATACAAAAATTTACTTTTCAACAATATCTATTTCTACTAACAACTTCTCAAAAGCTAAACAACCTTTTAATACTATATACTCTATTAACAAATAGCTTTTACAAGGCTTTACTTTAACCACATGCTTTATATAATATCTTAATTCTTATTTAAGGTTTTCTCTAATTTATTCTAATAAAAATAATTTGAAACAATTATCTATAGCACTTATTAGGAAATAGAAGGTGTAATGTTATATTGGACATCTTTTTTTAGCAACACAAATGTAGTTTAGAAATTTTTATTTTAGAGAAATTTTTTCTGTAATTAAATTTCTTATTGTATTTTAAAGTTTTTATTATGATATTATCAGTGTTGACTTGACCAGACCAGTTTGACCATTTGACCAGACCAATTTGACCAATGACCAGTCTGGTCAAAATATTGTAATACTGGTCAAATTGGTCAAATAATAAAGTTACACAGACCAATTTGACCATTTTGACCATGGTCAAATCGGTCAAATTGGTCTGTATAACCAATTCGAAAATCACGTTGTCCGGTGATCACTGATCATTTTTTTATTTAGTGAAAAATACAACTGAAGATAACTTTTTGAGTAAAAAAATATAAGTTTTTTACATCGTAATCGATAGCTTTTATTATGCTCTTTTTAACAATAGAGTTAAATTTACAAAGTTCAATAGCTTTATGTTCGTCAAATTTAGTTAAACATTGAATATTCGAAAAAATAGCTCTATTAAATTAAATTATACGAAGTGCTCAATCTTTTAGAAAAAATCAAAATTAGTAATTATTATACCAGTTCGAAAGAAACCTTGGTCGAAAGTTACTATTATCCGCAGTAATCTCAAAAAAAAAATTATCATGCGACCCTGATTTTATTAGTATGATGATCACCCTAGTGCTAGTACATACATACATATTATATAACGATTTTTAACATAATCTACTTCGATTCTCTCTTTATTTCTCTAATTTATTTCTCTAATACGCAGCATCAGGCTTTAACAAAAGCCGCAAGGACAAGAAAATACGACAATCGATACTATTTAGGTTGCCTATGACAGATAAGAGAAATAGAGCCAACTTTACTCAATAATATTTTCGAAATTGGACTCTAAGGCGACTTAATTTTTATTTTCATTAAAATTATATGCTTAAACGCATTTGCATAATACTAATTTACCACGAACTTTTCTATCGTTGCGACTATATCACTCTATAAGTTATTTTTACTGGTTCTACCAGATCTATTATATCTGGCAGATATGTCAAAGCTAGTAGATCTGTCAGATTCAGCTGATTTTTACTTCATTAGACGATCCATTCTCTACTTGTATGTGTACGCACAAATACGAATCAATACATTTACAATGTTTTTTACTCGCATTTCTTAACTAGAACAATAGTATTCCCTAAGATACTGCTATTCTAAAAGTATTATGAGAGATCATTTTTAACGTACAATCATTTATAGTGAACTGGTAATTCTTTTATTGCAATGAATTTAGCTAACAAAATAATATGATTTAAAAAAATAAAAATACTAAATTCTAATTGTTAGAAATCTCGGAAGTATCTTCAACATGTTGCCGAAGAGTACGAACAAATGATGGTTGTGATAAAGTACGTGTAAAGAGGTATCGAAGTTCTATCTTTGAATCTTTGTGTTCAGCTGGATGATATTTATGCATATCAGTAGCATCAAAAGAGCCCGTGTTTAATTCTTCAAGTTCTTCACTTTCTTCAAGTTCCTCACTTTCTTCATTAACCCATTCTTTAGTAATAGTTTCGTCATTTAATACTTCGTATTCATCATCGGCATCATCGTCACTATCACAATAATCATTATTATCATAATCATCATTATTAGGCATTTCACCCTCACCAACTATCGGATTAAGTGTATTCAGATCGTTTGTTTCATTACTTAGTTCACTATTGGTTGAATGAGTAATATGATTTGCAGCAACACTTTGGCGAACTTTTTCAGCATTGTTTAAATGTTCTTCCCAAGCCATCTCAGCTGCGATTTGGGTCATTCTAAAGGTCGTTGGTAACTGCGACAAAGATAAGTTATTTAGCATAAATTTGCAGAACTTTTTTTTTTTTTTTAATACAAGTAAATGCTTTCAGATGTTTTTTTTTATTTAATATTATTCAAGTACATTGTTACTACTTACCTTGAGGCGGCTGCGTCTTGGATTTTGAAACCACCCCATTCTAGAAAAAAGACGTTCACAAGGTGCAGAATTGACTTTAATACTAAACAACCGAAGTGCAACTTTACCAATTTCTTTTTGGTCAATTGCTGCAAATTCCCAGTATCGCAATAATGCGAGTCCAGTTGCATTTTTCATTGCCATATTTTCTTTTGAGATGGCTTCAAGGGTATTTTCAAATCTCTTATCACTAAATATGCCACGTTTCATGTAATATTCAGTTAGTTCTAACGCGACATGTTTTGGCTTTATATTAAACCATGCTTCATAATAATATTCGATCCACTGTGTTATTCTTTCAAGAGAGAAAAAATTAATATCAGATAAAGCTTGAAGACGATATTGTGGATGAAATATAACTGCCAGTAAAAGAAGAGGTTGTTCCCAATCGGCCCATCTTTTTTCAAGTTTTTGCAGTATCATAGGACTAAATTCATCAATTTCATCTTCATATTGCTGTGCTATATATACAAATGCATACGTTACATCAAAAAGGTTGGCCGCATCACGCTGAAGATAATCCAAAATACTGACAAAGGGCAAAAGATGCTTTACTAATTCGTCAATGTATGTCCAAAATTGAGGGTTGTTAATAGCAGCTCTGAATTTATCTGATGACTTGAAAGAGCTTTGATGTAAAATCGAATAAGACTGTATAGCACGTTTACTTCTTAGCAGCGTCGCAAAGCAATAATAATATGAATTCCAACGGGTGGTTACTGGAAGTACAAAGCTAAATATAGTTTTATAAATTCTTTGTTGTTCATCGCGAAGTAATGATATTGCCTTTGAATGCCGTTTATCTGTAAAATATGATACAATTCCAATGGCATCCTTTACTGTTTGTTTATATATAGATGAAAGTTTGAAAATATCGCCAACGCATAAGTTTGCCTGGTGCGCAAAGCATGGAAGAAATACAATATTACGCTTCTGTAATCGTATTTTACGCCTGGTAATGAATATTTATAGATTACTTTATTATGATACAAGATTAATTTTTAATTGGCTTGGTGCTAGAAAAAAGGACCAAATTAACAAAAAAAAATTCTTCACAAAAAAAATTATCTCGCGAGCTATTAATTAAAATCATCAATCAATAGTTCGTAAGATTATTAATTTTTTATGAAGAATTTTTTTTGCCAATTTGGTCTCTTTTTCCAGTACCAAGCTCAATTTTTTTTTTATATCTATACTGTATATGTGGTCGAAATTTCGACTATTTCAGCCATTTGGCAAATGTTCAATGCAAAGTTATTAATAATTTGTAAATACGATAGAAATTGGGCTTCATATATGTTAAGCCAGGTCCACAAAACCTTTTTGAATTTCGGCAAGACCTTTTGGTATTTTGGCAGACTTTGAAAGTTTCGGTTATATATTAAGTACGGATTTTTGAAAATTCCAGAATCTGCCGAAATACCAAAAGGTCTTGCCGAAATACGAAAAAGACTTGCATAAGGTTTTGCGGATCTGGCTTAACATATATGAAGCCTAATTTCTATCGTATTTACAAATTATTGATAACTTTGCTTTGAACATTTGCCAAGTGGCCGAAACATTTCGACCACTATTATCTATACACACCGAGCGGAAGCATATGCTGATGCACTGTCAGTAACCATAGCCACTACATTAAGATTCTAGTTACTAGCACGCTCAAAAAAGTTATGAATTGTATTTAATACATCGAGAGTTTTTTGACTATGATTGCTAATATCTTCAGCACCCCATATGTATAGCTGATTTGTTGCAGAAAGAATAACAGCGCCCAAAATTTCCTGGCAACGAACATTTTTCCAACCATCAAACATGATTGTAACTGGTTCTTGTGACTCAGAGAGAGTAGAGACTTTAGCTTGTTCTAATTTTTCTGCATACTCAACAAGAATTTTAGCACTTAATGTTCCGCGAGTTGGAATTTTAACGGTTGGGTTAAAAAAATCAACAAACTCACGGAGTGTACTACATTCAGTAAACCGAAAAGAAAGCCCATTTTGAACTATTAGACGCAGAAGGCGGCGATTAAATTCATATTGTTGACTAGTTGATAATGGACGAGCAACATAAGTTTCAAGTGTATAATTTATTTTTTTTTTTTTAGAGTTTATATGGGATGAGTTTGAAGAAGTTTCTGACATTCGTGTATTATTGCTTGTGGTATTGGAATTGGATGAGACAATGGACATGGCTGTATTGTTTCGCTCTCTTGCTTGTCGCAATGCCCTTACAGCATTACGTGCCATATTTTCATCAGGGTCTTCATACATCATTACTTCTTGGTCTTCATCAATCCAATACTCACGCCAATATTGACAACGTTTCCAATGTCGTTGTACACGATCCCACCTATTAAAAAACCCCCATTTATCATATACTTCCCACAATTGAAGGCCATCATTTCTTCCCTTCTCAAATATATGTTCATTGTGTTCACAGGCTTTACAAATAGCCCGTTTAGCTGTTTGATTTGGGCCTAATTTATCTTGAACATGCACATATCTTGTTAATCGATGTGAATGATTTTGAGACATTTTAATTTTAATACTAATGAATTTTTTTTTATTTTTAAGAAAATAGGTTTGAGATATTTTAATGCTTTTATATTTAAGTGATTTTACTGATGTGATCAATTTGATATCAAATTGTCTTATCAGTTCGCATGATACTGGTTTAATTCGAAAGCCAATCTTTATTACATTAATGGTGAGTTCTATATGCTTTTATATGAAAATAAATCAGTGTAATTTACAGCTTATCTGTGAACAAAAAAAATAGTTTATCGTTATTTCGAATTAGCTGTTATCACGATAGTAACATGTGGAAGTCATAGAACTTACAAAATTCTGTATCGCTAATCTAATTGGAAATAGTTTATTTATATTTATGTATACTTTGCATTAAATCAGCATCTAAAAGTAATTTATAATGTGAAGCTTACTTCTAGAATTTGCACTAATGCTTACAAAAGCTTAAGCTAAATTCACAAAATATGTTTCGAAAATCAGAATCCCTAAAATAGAATATGTGGATTCAAACATTAACTTCTATTTCGAAATAACGCACATGGGCGTACTCGAAATAACACGCAAGGCAACTAATTAACGCTCAGGTGGGCGTTATTACGCTTGTACGGGTATGAACATTTTAATAACCAAAAATAATTTTATTAGAATGTAATATTCTGATTAATAGCCTGCTTCGAAGTATCTTTGATAAATTGAGGACTTATTAAATCCGGGTGTGTTTCAATTTTAATGATTTAATTAAAATAGGATAAAGTAAAAAAATCATTTCGAGTATTTTTTTATAAGTGCTCAAGATTTTGCCTATTTTGTATTTTTCTTGTTGTCGATTTTTTAGTAGCATGTAAGGTAGGTATTATGACGCAGGTGAATAATGTGACGCACTCATGTTTTTGATGATATGCTGCGATACACCGATCAGTATCGAAAAATTTTAGTACCATTCGATTCGTCTTATTGAGACGAATCAAATAATATAATAATTGGTTTGTTTCTAATTGCCAAACCACAAGATATAAATAAAAGTTGGTATTACTTATGCCAGTATTAAGTTTCTTGGGATTTCTATTATACATTTCTTCATTTGGGTAATGTCCGGAGGAAGGATAGTAAACATAGTGCGTCATAATACCTTTCTTTATTTGCAGATAGTTAAACCTATTTTAATAAATTCCAAGATCAAATATATTTTTTCTGGAAATTTTTATATAAGCAACTCTTAAGTGCGTTATAATACCCGACTCCATCTTATGACTTTAAATTAATCTCTAATCGTGATTTATTTATGTAATCAATTGTTCAACCAATTTGACCGAATTGACCGAATTGACCATGGTCAAATTGGTCTAATTAGTCTGATTGGTCTGTGTAACTAATCATTTGACCGATTTGACCAATTTGACCAATGTGACCATGGTCGAATTGGTCGAATTAGTCTGATTGGTCTGTGTAACCAGGTCATTTGACCAATTTGACTGACCGACCAGACCAATAACTATTTGACCAATGACCAGCAAAATTTATGGTTGACCACAAGTTTTAACAATACTGATCTACACGATATTTGTATTGCATATTAAATTTGTTGAAATTGATTTTAAGTTTATATCACATATATTATCATATTTAAACATTCTAGTGTGAGAAATATTTCACAATATAGTTCTTTTTATAGATTTATTTAGACAAAGTAGCATCCAGTAAGAAAAAACAGATTGTAAAGAAAGCTACTATCAAAAATACAACAAAACCAAGAAATACAATCAAAAAAAGAAAATCAACCACTGCTGTTAAAAAAAGAACACAAATCATGAAATCAGTTAGAAAAGTGAAAAAGTGTAATTTGTGTAGGTGTAAAAATAAAAAATACTGCAAGTAAAAAAACAATCATCAAAAAAAACACTATACAATAAAACAAATTCAAAAAAGAAAGTAAATTCATCTTCATACACTATCGGATACTGTTTTGATGAAGAGAAATTAAATGACTGTTGAGTTTCAAGACCAGCTGGAATACAAATTATTACAGAAGTATTTGGTCCTGTTACAGAAAACAATAGAACATTTTTTGTAGATCCATTATACATATAAATACTTCCAATTAGACTTTATCAAATACAAAAAAATTTTGCTCCTTTTGAACATATTATTCTATATGATATTTTGATTTATATTAATTTTGTAATTTTACAAAATGAAGATTATACTCGAACTATTGAAATTCCAACAACTGGAAACAAAAATAGTAGAATTACTCCATTAATCTCTCCTTTCAAAATTAAAAGCTTTATATTACAACTGTGTGATAAAGATCTTGCTTGTAAAAAATCTTTTGATATTTTGATCAGTGATTTATTAGTTGATAAAAATCTTTGTAAAATAAAATTTAATACTAGAAAAGTTAAAGTTGAACTCAAATCTGAAATAACTATTGAATGTAGTGCATGCGATTTTATAGAACATGAATTAATTATATGTTTAGACTTTAAAAAAATGCTTGTTTGTTTTAAAAATAAACCAAGCAATACTGAATCAAGCTTTTTTGATAAAGAAAATTTCTTATTTGTAATATTTTTAAACTATATGGATTCTGCATATAGTTTTAAAAAAAGAACTGTTCAAAATAAAAAAGATGCATATTTATTAGATGAAAAACATAATTTTAACACATTAAATGTAGGAATTTCTGGGTTTATGACAGATGGTTATATTGAAATGTCATGGAGTCCTCATTTAAGAGGTGTAGATTTTAACAAAATAATGAGTCAAATAGGGAATTGTTGTGATAGTAATAATAATATTAAACCAAAGTAATATAAACAAAATAGTTTTTTATTTTATTATTATATTATA